GGGGCGGGGGCGGGACGGCCCGGGGGCGCACCCCCGCCTGCGCGCAGGGTCCCCCCGGAAATGCGGCTGGAGCCGGGTTAATGCATAATCTGGAGGCGACGTGACGGGACTTCCAAAGGGCCGGGGCGGCGCGGGAGCCGGCGGCGGGGGTCGCTGCCGCGAGGAGGGGCCGCCATACCTGCCGGCCTCCCGGGGCCCTGCAGGCAGGCTGCGCCTCCCGGGAGGAACGCAGCCCCCGTCGCCCGGACCGGGGTCGGGGCCGCCTCGGGACCCGCAGCCGGGGCCGGTGCGCGGCGATTGGTCGGGACGGGCCCCGGGACGAGGGCGCCCCCTGCAGCCGCGCGGCCGGGAGCTTGGCCCCGCCCTGCCCCCGCCCGGCCTGGCGGGGACTGCAGTGGGGGGGGTTCAGATCGGAGCCCGGCGCAGTCGAAGATGGAGGGGGCGGGAGAGGAGAACCCTCGGTGCCCTTGGAAGTGAGCCTGCGGTGCCCCTCCCCCAGCCAGCTGCAGGTCTGTGAGCCAGGAGGAACAAGGGGGGGCCGCAGAAACCGGTCCAGGGGAGCCCCCGCCCCGCTCTGGCACTGGGGCTTCAGGGAGGGGCGGCGGCACCGATGGTCGGTGCTCACACCTGCCAAGCTGCAGCTGACCACGGGGTCTGCACACAGTGGTCTCGGACACAGCAGACCTGGGGGGCCCTGGCCCAGATATGGACCCCCACAGACCAGAATGGGGGCTTCTGGGTCTCCAACCAAATCCTCCGGCGTGGCAGGAAAGCAGAGATCTGAGTGCCCCCAGGGTCACCATCTTTGGGCCCAAGAGGTGCAGACCCTGCTGTGCCCCTTCTCTGGTTCCTCTGAGACTCATTTGGTAACTTGGTTTAGGGGGAAAAGTCGGAGAAGGAAGCATGTGGTGAGGAAGGGGGTGTAGCTTGTACCAATTAGGGGCTCTGGATCGGGGACAAGCTGTTTCTGTGGACAGTGTGAGTCCCAATCCAGGTGCCCCCTCACCTGCTGGCTGTGGGGTCTCCATTAAGGGGAGCCCTGAAGGGGGTGTGCTTGGTGGCCCCATGGTGATGTGCATGGCCAGGACTGTCCCTACCCTTCCCTAGACCCACACGGGCAGGACAGAGCAGGCTGGTAGGTCCTAGAGGGCCAAGAGGCCCTCAGCTCCCCGTTGGGGTGGACAAGCCCCCCTCACAGCCCACCAGGCAGGCCCTGAGGACTCACCCTCCCCAGTTCCAGGGGCGTCGGGGAGGTCCAATCCATTGGGAGCCAAACCTGTGGCCTTGGGGACCTGACCAGGCCTGCCCCTCCCGAAGCTGTCACTGATCCAGTGGGGGTGGGCAGTTGGGCAGGGCTCCCACCCTCCCTGTCAGGGTGGGCTCCAGCAAGTGTGTCTATTTTCCTTTCTCTAGAATTTGGTTTCCTGCAGGGTGTGCCGACATGTCTTACTTTGGTTACAGAGGGGGAACGTCCCTCTTTTGACCCCACGAGGCTCCAGCTGCGAAACTCTTGTCCCTTAACTTGGCAACACAGGCCTGGGCACCACAGGCTCTCTCACCCGACCCCCCAACTCCATCAGCAGGGGTGCAGACTGGGGGTCAGACGGATGGGGTGCTGAGGGGTGAGGGCAGACACAGAGGCAGGCATGGCTCTTCGCAGCTGCATTTATTTCCAGCACTTGGTCCTGGTCAGGCCCCGGGGGGGGGACCTGCTCTGCCCACCCCCTCGTAGGCGCAGGTGCATGAACACCGTGCACTGAGGTGTGAGGCTGTACTCCCCCAGCAGGAGGTTGTCCTCCATGGGCTTCCCCTGAAAGCTCAGCCAGAACTGGTCGTCCGGCACGTTCTCCTGCAGGCACACCTGCTGCTTGAGGCTGGCCACCGTCTGCGTCAGCCGGACCTCGTAGGTTCTGCAGCGGCTCTTGTCATTCCTCACCAGGATGTTCAGGGGCTCGTCGCAGCTCTGCACCACGAGCAGGACTGTGCTGCCGGGGCCCAGGCCCTGGCCGACAAGGGGGCCCTTGTCCTGCAGCTCCATGCCGCCTGGGTGGATGAACAGGCGCTGCTGGAAGGCGTGCACGCTGATCTTCTGGGTGATCTGCTGCTTCAGTTCTGACAGCAGAGCAGAGTCGTTCAGGGACACCTGGAGCTCCTGGCCCCCCAGCATCTTCACCTTCAGGTCCCAGCCCTGCAGGCATTACACAGGCTCAGAGACAGTGGCACCAGTGTAGGGTCACTATGTGCAAGGCATCGGCCGCAGGGCAAGCTCCTGTGCCCAGGGACCATGCTTCCTCCTGTCTGTCCTCTCCATCCATCAGGAGAGGGACCCCAGGTACAGGAGGCACAGAAGGGGCCATTTCTAGAAGAAAAGCCAGCCTCCCACAGCAGTCCTGCTGCCTCTCTTCACCTGCTACGCTGCCCCTCTGTGCCCTACCCCAGGGGATCTCAAGGCCAGCCTTCCCGGACCCAGCCTGCCTTCAGGAGACTGCCCCTCATCACACTTAGAGCCTGGGCAAGCTCTGAGCTTTTCTGCTCTCCCTGCACCCTGGGAGACCCCACGGCTTTGGGGGAGGAAAGTTGACTGGAATAGAGCCCACCCGCCCCTGCCTGTCAAATCACTTACCATGCTGTGTGCTGTGGTGTTTGGTCCTCCACTGGCACCTCTCAGCCTCCAGCCGCTCCTGTGCGGGCTCAGCTCAGCCGTGTTATAAACCCAAGTCTGAGCACACGTCAGGGGGCGTGTCCCGAGAGCCTGCACCAATGGCCCGATCCAGCTTCAGTTTCAGTTTCCTTTTCTCCAGGTGTCCCCCAGAGTGAAGAAACAAAACACAATGACAACGATAGGGAAACTCGGAGGGGGAGCCCAGGGTCTCAGGGGGGCGGTCAGGGACAGGGACACAGGACAGCGTCCTCTGCCCTACTCCATTCCCCAGAAATCCCCTAAATATCTAGCGCTTCAGGTTCTTTACAAGATGCACAAAAGACATAACAACCCAAACGAATGATTGGAAACTTTCATTTTCCATTTCCCAATTTGCAAAATTAGTAAACTTGGAAAACATTGCCATGGTTAATCCAGAAACAAAATGGTGACAATTCAGATTACCCGGAGATAACCTCCATTGGGTGAGGACAGTATTAGTTCAGATTATTTTTAATTTTTTTTGTGCAAAAATGAACTCGTGGACCCTGTCAAGAAAGTTGGTAGGGCGCGGTGGCTCACGCCTATGATCCGAGCACTCCGGGAGGCGGAGGCAGGAGGATCGCCTGAGCTCAGGAGTTGAGACCAGCCTGATTAACATCGAGACCCCCGTCCCTACTAAAAATAGAAAAATTAGCCAGGTGTGGTGGTGGCGCCTGTGATCCCAGCTACTTGGGAGGCTGAGGCAGGAGGATCCCTTGAGCCCAGGAGTTGGAGGCTGCAGTGAGCTACGACCACGACACTGCACTCTACCTCAGGCAGCAGATCGAGACCCTGTCTCAAAAAAACATTTTTTTTAATTTAAAAAAATAAAAAACAAAACTGAAAAAAACCTGATACTACTTTCACCATTTTGTAACCTGCTTAATTCATGTGAGAGAGTCCCAGAAACATCTCCCTATGTCAATGAAGACATTTGTGCAAGTTGTTTTAATGGCTGCGTCTGTCCCCATGGAATGATTCATTACAGTAGAGTGTAATGTAGTTAACCAATCTCACAGTGTTGAATATTTAGGTTGTTCCCACATTTTTTTTTTTTTTGAGACTGAGTCTCGCTCAGTTGCCCGGGCTAGAGTGCTGTAGTGTCAGCCTAGCTCACAGCAACCTCAGACTCCTGGGCTCAAGCGGTCCTCCTGCCTCAGCCTCCCAAGTAGCTGGGACTACAGGCATGCGCCACCATGCCCAGCTAATTTTTATATATATATATATTTTTTTAGTTGTCAGGCTGGTCTTGAACTCCTGACCTTGAGTGATCCACCCGCCTTGGCTGGTCTTGAACTCCTGACCTTGAGTGATCCACCCGCCTTGGCCTCCCAGAGTGCTAGGATTACAGGTGTGAGCCACCGCGCCCGGCCTCTCCTGAGTTCTTCATGCTGGCATATTGTCCTGGAAGGCTCATTTTCTTTTCTTGTTTTTATTTTTTTAGGCAAGCACGAAAATGAGGTCTGTTGAGGAGAGAAAGATAGGATTATAGGGCAAGCACAAGAAACAGGTTTACGGAGCGTGGTACATACGCCGCAGATGGTGACCAGACCCATTGTTGCAGCAAAGTGAGAGCCAAAGGAAGGGCTCAAAGAGAGCTTCTTTTCTTGTTTTTAGAGACAGGGTCTCGCTCTGTTGCCCAGGCTAGAGTGCAGTGGCATCATCACAGCTCACTGCAGCCTTGAACTCCCTGGCTCAAGCGATCCTCCTACCTCAGCGTCCCGAGTATCGGGGACTACCGGCGCCACCACACAGCAGCTACTTTTGTATTTCTCGTGGAGACGAAGCCTCTGCTGCCCAGGCTAGAGTGCAGTGGGGTCATCGTAGCTCACTGCTATGCTGCCCAGGCTGGTCTGGAACTCCTGGCCTCCAGCAGTCCTCCCACCTCGGCCGGTGGAGTCCCACTGCGCCTGACCTGCATCTTCTTTTAGTTACTTCATCCCATCTCCGCCGGTTGTTGTCCTGCTTTCAGTAGGACCAACTCAATGGAGAGCGTGAAGGAAGCCCACAGAACCAGGAACCACGTGTCTTTGTCCCCTAAGGCTGCTGGGACAAAGTGCTACAAAGTCAACAGAAAGTACTTTTCTTACAGTTCTGTGGCCGGACATACAAATCCAGGTGGACTAAATGACCAGGATTGTCAGGTTGGCTTAAAAAAATTTTGGGGGAGGCTTTATGTGGCTTCCAGAGGGCAAGAAACATCTGAAACATCAAGACACAGGAAATTTGAAAGTAGAAAAATAGAAAGAAACATACCACACAAATAGTAAGTAAAAGGAAGCAGGTATGGCCAGACGAACAATTTCATTAACATACTAGCAAAGGAATCTTGGAGGCAAAGTATTATTAGAGATACAGAAGGTCACAACAGTAAAAGGTTGAGGTCGCTAGTAAAATAATTTTAAACTTGAATGCGCTTAATAACTTAGCTACACAATATATAAGTTCCAGTTACAAAGCTTAATATTCTATTTATGAATGTAGTAAATTATAATAGCCACTTACAAAGGGACCTTGGTTAATGTTCATTCCCATTTGCAAACTAACTTAAGCTTCCTTAGACCTTTTAAAACACCATCCATAATGTAGAATAGACTTGGTTCTATTTTTAAGCCCTTCAGCTACCTGGCAACAGAGCAACAGCAACACAAAACCTTGTTAAGAACAGTCACCCAGGCTCACCTGTAAGCCCTGGTCCAGGTGCCAGCACCTCCCTCCCAGGCTCCCATGGACACATCCTGGGGGTCCTGCTCCCATGCTGACCCCACACCTGATCCTGACCCAGCGGCCGCAGGGAGTCATGCAAAACCTTCCTTCCCATGGGTTCCCTCAGCCCCCAGCGCAGCAGGCAGGGCATGGCCTTGCCTCAGCAAGGTGAGCTGGGCCGTGTCCCACTCCCCGATCTCCTCTCTTGCCCTCACCCCTGCCCCGTCCCCAAGCACTTGGCTCCAACCCTGGGCCTCCTCACTCTGCCCGGGGCACATGGGCCACTCTCACCCTTGCACCTCTCCTCTGAGTTACCCCACGTTGCTCACCTGTCCTTGCAGTGGTCCTTCCTCCTCACCAGAACGCTCACTGCTGCACCTGCCCAGCGACCGTGCAGAGGACACTTGTGTGAATGAGTGAATCCTCGTACATTTAATGAAATTGAATGTAAAAAGGTGCTAGATCTTAAGTTCTCAAACATTCTGATTTCTTAATAAATTCAATAACGTCCTCCTATCTTTCTGCTTAAAAATCATTAACCTAAATATCTTACTGAATGTGCATTTGAATTTAGAATCTCAAGGCTAATCTGATAAAATGTTCCAAAGTGGAAAAACTATGAGTCTGATCTTTTTAAACAACTTTAATTAGATACAATTGACGCATAACAAACTGCATCTGTTTAATGTGCTCTTCAATGAGTTCTGACCTACGCGGTGCCTGGGAAACCACTAACGCTGCACTTCATCATCTCCCCACCGAATTCGAACCCTGTAGGATCACACCAAAGTCTCTCCTGTTAAAGGGTCCTGCCTTCCGAGCAGCTGGAGTGACTCCCAGGTGGGTGGTCCATCAGGGCCCCAGGCCTGGGCCGGGGGCAGGACTTGCTTACACCGTGACAGGAACCCGAACCCCTCCGTGATCGGCGATGGTGTCCAGGGACCCAGCCTCCACATGACAGCAGTGGGTCTGCCGGCCTAGGCTGACTCTCTGCTCCTGTCCAGTCTGGATCCTTTTCCCTCAGGGCAGCCACAACTCCAGAAGCCACCGTCCTGGATGACGCTGGCCTTTGGCCACAGCTCGAAGGTCACCTGGTGGCAGGGCTGGGCCTCTGCCACGTCCCCCTGGACAGGATGGGCAGGGCCTGTCTATGGGCCTCCCAACAACGCTGGGGCGCAGGTGCACCCCGGCTCTCTGAGAAGGCCACACGGAGCCTGCGACTCACCCTGTGGGTGTGGCCAGGCAGTGTGTCATCAGAGGCCCTGAGTTTCCTGAGAAACACCTGTTGTTGAAGTCTAAGGTGATGTAAGCACCTCAAGGCAGACCCTCCCTTCCACACCTCCTAAGGAGACTCTCCCCTGCCCCGCCACCCGGGACCAGGAAGGCCCAGTGGTCAGCACCCTGGCAGGGGCCAGCCCTACAGCCCTGGACCCACCTCCACCCCCCCAACACCTGGCAGGCACTTCCCTTCCAGTGGCAGCTCCTGTGAAGGGCTTTCTGGGAGAGCAGGACCCGGGACAAGGTGGAGGGGGAACGGGAAGCCTCTGCCCCCACAGAATGCAGCAGGCCCAGTGGGCCCCTCAGAACCACCCGGTGTCTGGGGGCTTGTCCCTTGGGGGAGACATGCAGGTCTGCAGGTTAGAAGCCAGCTCTTTGCTGCATTAGGGAGGTGGAAGCAGGCCAAGACCAGAGAGGGCTGCTGTTCTGTTCTGGGGAAGGGGCTTGTGGAGGGGTGGGGGCTGGGCATGAGGCGCCAGACAAGAGGGACCTTCTCAGTTCAAATCCACAGGGAAGGGAGGGATGGAGCGGCCCTGCAGCCAGACACTCTGAGCTGGACGCCAGACCCCACCTGGCCACCTGCAGGGCTCTGTGCTGGGGCCGTGCACACCCAACAGCCCAGTGCAGTCTGGACCCTTTCCCATCCTAACCTGGCTGTTAGGTCGACCCACAGCCCGTCTGCTGAATTCAGACCCATGGGAAGCCCAGGGCCAGCTGTGCTAGGGGCACCGCTGGGGGCAGCTGAGGCTTGGGCTGTGGCCAAACCAGGCTCCCTAATGTCCCTGCCACCGAAGACACTCTTGCCCCTGCCTTCCCAGCCCCCCACAAGCAGGCCTCTTGCTCAGACACAGACCCAGGACAGGTCTCAGAGGACACAGAAGGGAAACCCCCGTATGCAGGTCAGGCAGTCCTGCCCCCTGCTGGACTGCGTGGGGCTGGGGTGGGGCTGGGGCACGGCTTTCTACCCAACCCTAACCCTAACCCCAGGACTCAGCTGGTGGCCTCCG